TCCCCGGCCGCCGCCGCTGCAGCCGCTGCAGTCCCCATTCCGCCGGCGCCCGCCCTCCGCGCCTGCGCGCTCGCCCGCCGGGCCTGGAGGCGGGGGCCGGCTCCGCGGCCCAGAGCCACTGGGGTGCGGGGGACTGGGGTTCTGCAGGGGCGGGGTGGAGCCCGGGCTCCGGGAGGGGGTGAGAGGGGGGAGGAGGGGGAGGAGCGCGTCAGGAGAGGCGGCGGCGGCGAGGAGTGGGGTGAGGTGGCAGGTGGGTGGGCGCAGAGGCCGAGCTTCAGACTTGGCCGTGCAAATACAGGGCCCCCAGTTAAGTTTGCCTCTCAGGTAAACAGATGGGTTTTGGTGGGTGTCCCATGCGGTATTTAGGACTGGAAGAGCGCCAGCAAGACGCAGCGTTCGCTGGATTCACGGTCCCTCACAAAGCTGTTCGGGGGACCGCAGAGAGCCGACCCTGGGGCCTGAAACCAAGACACGTCAACTGTGGAAACTCGAATGGGACCGCTGAAGGAAGGGGAGTCATCTGTCTCCGCACCGGGGCAGTGAGCTCGTGATCTCACCGTCCAATTTACTGATTTATTTTTAATAAAATATACCGAAATTACAGAAAACATGGGACAATATTTTAAAATTACTCAATCCCACAGCCCTAGCCTAGTAGTTACTGTTTTCCCATCTAAAGTACATTTGCAATGACAATATACAAAATATCCTTTTTATTTAATGTATCATAATCAATTTTTACGGTGCTACATAATGATTGTTTTAATGACGGTATAATTTCCCATAAAGTTAATTACCGTAATTTGTCTAACTGTTCAGCTGTCGTTGGATGTTAGGTTGCTTCCAGTTTTTTTTTTTTTCTATTATAAGTGATGCCGTGATGAACGTCTTCGTAACTTTTGAAAAAACTAAAGAGTATCAACCTATACCTATATGCATCACTGTTTGTGAAGCAATATAAAATCAAATACTATTTCTGTATGAAAACTTTTATGCTGAATGAATCTAGTCCTTTGCTTATTCTCTTTTTGTTGTGGTAGCATATATATAACAAAACTTGCCATTTTAGCCATTTTTAAATGTACAATTCAGTGGCATTAATTACATTAACAGTGTTGTGCAACCCTCACCACTATTTCCGAAACTATTCCATCACTCCAAACAGAAACTCTATACCCATAAAGCAGTTATCTCCCATTTCTCCTACCCCCTAGTCTCTGCTAATCACTAACCTACTTTCCACCTCTATGAATTTGCCTAGTCTAGATATTTCATATAAGTGAAATTGCACAATATTTGTCCTTCTGTGACTGGCTCATGTCACTTAGTATAATGTTTCAAGCTTCATCCATATTGTAGTGTATGTCAGAACATCATTCCTTTTTATGGCTCAGTAATATTCCATTCTTTGTAAATATAGTAGTCCCCTTTATGCAAGGTTTCACTTTCCTCGGTTTCAGTTACCCAAAGTCAATGTGGTCCAAAAATGTTAATAGAAAATTCCAGCAATAAGCAATTCATAAACTTTAAATTGCATGCTGTTCTGAGTAGTATGATGAAATCTCATTCCATCCTGCCCGGGACATGAATCATCACTTTGCCCATTGTATACTGTCGATTTAGTCACTTAGTAGCAACTCAGTTATCACATCGACTACTGGCTATCGCAGGGCTTGTGTTCATGCAACCCTTATTTTACTTACTAATAGCCCCAAAGCACAGGAGTAATGATGCTGACAATTTGGATATGCCAAGGAGAAGTTGTAAAATGCTTCTTTTCAGTGAAAAGGTGAAAGTTTTGAACTTAATAAGGAAAGGAAAGAAAAAAATTGTATTCTGAGGTCAATAAGATCTACACTTAGAATCTTCTATCCATAAACTGTGAAGAAGGAAAAAGAAATTTGTGCTAGTTTCGCTGTCACAACTCAGACTGCAAAAGTTACGGCCACAGTGCATGATAAGTGCTTAGTTAAGATGAGAGGCATTAAATTTGTACAATAAGATATTTAGAGAGAGACTACATTCACATAACTTTTATTACACTATATTGTCATAACTGTTCTATTTTATCAGTGTTGTTATTAATCTCTCACTGTGCCTAATTTACAAATTAAACATTGTCATAGGTATATATGTTCATCTGTATGTATAGGAAAAAAAATAGTATATATAGAGTTCAGTACTATTTGAGGTTTCAGGCATCCACTGGAGCTCTTCGAGGATATAGCCTGCAGATAAAGGGGGACTACTGTGCGACATTTTTTTTAAAAAAACAACTTTATTGGGCTTCCCTGGTGGCGCAGTGGTTGGGAGTCCGCCTGCCAATGCAGGGGACACGGGTTCGTGCCCCAGTCCGGGAGGATCCCACATGCCGCGGAGCGGCTGGGCCCGTGGGCCATGGCCGCTGAGCCTGCGCATCCGGAGTCTGTGCTCCGCAACGAGAGATGCCACAACAGTGAGAGGCCCGTGTACCGCAAAAAAAAAAAAAAAACAAACAAAACAAACAAACAAACAAAAAAAACAACTTTATTGGAGTATAACTGCTTTACAATGTTGTGTTAGTTTCTGCTGTAGCACAAAAAGAATCAGCTATATGTGTACATATATCCCCATATCTCCTCCCTCTTGCACCTCCCTCCCACCCTCCATATCCCACCCCTCTAGGTGATCACAAAGCACCGAGCTAATCTCCCTGCGCTAGGCAGCTGCTTCCCACTAGCCATCTATTTTACATTTGCCAGTGTATATATGTCAGTGTTACTCTCTGACTTCGTCCCTGCTTACCCTTCCCCCTCCCTGTGTCCTCAAGTCCATTCTCTACATCTGCATCTTTATTCCTGTCCTGCTCCTAGGTTCATCACAACCATTTTGTTCTTTTAGATTCCATATATATGTGTCAGCATATGGTATTTGTTTTTCTCTTTCTGACTTCACTCTGTATGACAGACCCTAGGTCCATCCACCTCACTGAAATAACTCAATTTCATTTCTTTTCATGGCAGAGTAATGTTCCACTGTCTATATGTGCCACATCTTCTTTACCCATTCATCTGTCAGTGGACACTTAGGTTGTTCCATGTCCTGGCTATTGTAAATAGAGCTGCAGTGAATATTTTGGTACATGACTCTTTTTGAATTATGGTTTTCTCAGGGTATATGCCCAGTAGTGGGATTGCTGGGTCATATGGTAATTCTATTTTTAGTTCTTTAAGGAACCTCCATACTGTTCTCCATAGTGGCTGTATCAATTTACATTCCGACCAACAGTGCAAGAGGGTTCCCTTTTCTCCACACCCTCTCCAGCATTTATTGTTTGTAGACTTTTTGATGATGGCCATTCTGACCAGTGTGAGGTGATACCTCATTGTGGTTTTTCTTTACATTTCTCTACTAATTAGTGATGTTGAGCATCCTTTCATGTGTTTGTTGGCAATCTGTATATCTTCTTTGGAGAAATGTCTATTTAGGTCTTCTGCCCATTTTTGGATTGGGTTGTTTTTTTGATATTGAGCTGCATGAGCTGCTTGTAAATTTTGGAGATTAATCCTTTGTCCATTGCTTCATTTGCAAATATTTTCTCCCATTCTGAGGGTTGTCTTTTGGTCTTGTTTATGGTTTCCTTTGCTGTGCAAAAGCTTTGAAATTTCATTAGGTCCCATTTGTTTATTTTTGTTCTTATTTCCATTTCTCTAGGAGGTGGGTCAAAAAGGATCTTGCTGTGATTTATGTCATAGAGTGTTCTGCCTATGTTTTCCGCTAAGAGTTTTATAGTATCTGGCCTTACATTTAGGTCTTTAATCCATTTTGAGCTTATTTTTGTGTATGGTGTTAGGAAGTGTTCTAATTTCATTCTTTACGTGTAGCTGTCCAGTTTTCTCAGCACTGCTTATTGAGGAGGCTGTCTTTTCTCCATTGTATATTCTTGCCTCCTTTGTCAGAGATAAGGTGACCATATGTGCGTGGGTTTATCTCTGGACTTCCTATCCTATTCCATCGATCTATATTTTTGTTTTTGTGCCAGTACCATACTGTCTTGATTACTGTAGATTTGTTGTATAGTCTGAAGTCAGGGAGCCTGATTTCTCCAGCTCCGTTTTTCTTTCTCAAGGTTGCTTTGGCTATTTGGGATCGTTTCTGTTTCCATGCAAACTGTAAAATTTTTTGTTCTAGTTCTGTGAAAAATGCCATTGGTAGTTTGATAGGGATTGCATCGAATCTGTGGATTACTGTGGGTAGTATAGTCATTTTCACAATGTTGATTCTTCCAA